TAATATGAAATTGCGCCCCGAACTACTTAACGTAGTTTGTAATATGGATATACTTTCGCATACGGAAGGAAAACGAACGAAGATAGAGGAAAAGGAAAAAGAAAAAAAAGATAATAAATGGAAAAAAGAGGGGGGGGGGGCAGGGGAGGGAGGGAAATAAAAAATGCGTTTTTTCGTTTGGTACATTAGCCGGGGACTCTTGCTGCGCGGCTTTCCCGCGCGATTAAAAGCAAAATGACGTTAATTAACGTGAACGAGCTTACAAATATACTGCTACCCTGTGTAATTCCATCAACTTGGCGATTTTTCAATGCGTTTTCTTTCCCATCCGGCGCGGGAGCAGTTCGAGTTTCCTGGCCTCGCGAATATTCGATTTCGCGAGACACGAGCAAAACCTCGACTTCTGGACGTGGAGCGGGGCCGTAATTGAAGCCATTTACATACAGGGGCTGGAAAGTCAATTTGGAATTTCTGATGGTAATTCGTAACGCGAAATGAAATTCTGTATTGTACATTTTTTAACCGGGCAACGATTTCTTTAATTTTGGATTTGGAAAAGCTATATATATACATATATATACACTATATGTCGCGGGGAATAAAAAATTCAAGATAAATTGATCGTTGCGAGTTACATTTTTTACAAACGCGTAAACGTGTAGATAGAAAAAAAGAATGGGACAAAAAAGAGGGGCAATAACGTATCGTAAAATAATGGAGGGGAAAAAACAAATAAATAAATAATGAACACGACGATACAAATAATTACATCGAACAGAAACGAATTTTCGAAATTCGCGCCAACTTCGAAACACCCTGTATATCCGAGCTGATCCTCTCCAAACCGATTCCAAGCAAAGAGAAGAACAGCTTTATAAAAAGAGGGAATAGAAGAAAAACGCGAGGTGGAGGAAAATGCGAAGATGAAGAAGCAGAAGGGAGGGCGAAGAAAAGCCACACGAGGATGATACGAGTTGTCCCCTTGTTGTTGTTTTTGTTACGGAGTGGAGGAGGAGTACGTCACGACTAGCGAAAGCTGCGCAAAAAAAACCGCAACCCGAACGATCTGTAAAAAGAGAGGAAAAAAAAAAAAAAGAAAAAAAAAAAAAAAGAAGAAAAAAGGGGGGGAAAAAAAAGGAAAAAAGGAAAAAAATCGAGGGGGGGAGGGGAAAAAAAATAGCGAACCGCTCCATCCCCACCGCTTTTTCCTCCCGCCCCGGGCTCTGCGTGGTTCGGCGTGGTAGGGGTGGAAATGAAATCGACAGGGCGTCCACCTATCGGTCCGATGGCACGTATACAACACACGATCGCATACATCGGAACGCCTCCCACACGGCCTCCCGTGATGCTTTGTCCACGTGTGTCGCGATACGTCGAACGGAAGCTGGCACACCGACACCCCATTGCACGCACGCTCCGTCCACGGGTGTGTGTGTGTGTGTGTGTATGTATGTATGTGTGTGTATACGCGCGCGCGCGCGCGCCCGTGTTGACTGAACGTGTGTACGCCGACATAACTAAACAAGCAACAAGTGACCTTAAAATCTGCGAATAAAAATACCGGCCACTGATCGGGTATCGTGCGCAGCTGCGAGCCTGCCGGTGGCGAAGGGGTTGCAGGGTGTGTTTCGCTATGCCAAGGAACCACCGGCAACTCGTTGCCGCATGTAAACATCGGGATCGTAGTTTTAGAGAAAAAAAAAAAGGAGGAGGGGGCGGGAGGAGGAGAGGAAAAAAAAAAGAAGGAGAAAAAAAGGTGGGGAAGGAAAAAGAAACCACTACTGGCAATGTCAGTCGCGCTTTCTTTTTTTTTTTTTTTTTTTTTTTTTCATCCCTCCCACCGCTCTACGCTCTTGTTTCTGTCAATAGGAGAAAAGTTTTACCAATCGGTTACGCGCGTGTAACTTAAACTGGTTTCCTGGCTGTGTCGTTGGTCGACTCGTAGATACGTGTGATGTTTTTTTCTCTTTTTTCTTTTCCTTTTTCCTTTTCTTTTTTTTTTTTTTTTTTAGATTTATTTTTTTCCTCGTTTCTTTGAGACGCGAAATTGGCACGCGACATTGGCGAGTTATTCACGGGTGGTAATTGGCGTATACGGCAGAGTTGGAACGAGTTGGAACGCAGGCACGTAGGTACATTTCGGTAAAGAGCGAGAGGAGTTTTCATAATGGAAAGGGGGAAAAATTGAGGGGTGGAAATTGGAATAACGAAACTGCGTTGTTCATTCGAGTATTATTCGATAATGATATCGTTACTTTGACGGGGAATAGAACGGTGAAATAATGCTTAATCGAAGGAAGGAAGTGGATTGTTTAGTCGATCGATTAATTATTTTCTTTCTAACCGCGAAAACAGCTGTTTCCCCCTCCCTCCCTCTGAAAAAGGGAAACAGAATTCGATCGGTGGCGGAGATATGAAATTAAAGAGCAACAAGTGACCTCAAAATGAAAGAACATAAAAATGCAAACGGCCGATCGAGAGTTTTTACGCGGCTCAATCGAACTCAAAGCGTAGCGCGAGATCATTCGGAAAAGGGGGATACGGGGTTAGAGTAAACCGAGAGGTAAAAAGGGGTGAGAGCTGACACGGGTAAGGGTAGTGCAGATAGATAAATACTTAGAAGTCACGCAGCTTTATTGACCATTTCTGACGTCATCCTCGACTACAAAGAAAACCGAACCCCTCTCGTGGTGCATATCTTGGGGGATGAAACCGAGGGATGGAACCGAGTTTCATCGGAATTAAAAGCACAAACATCGAGATCACGAGAAGTCGTTTGTGTCAAAGCTTGAACGAAGCTTTTTCTTCTTCTTCTTCTACTTCTTCTTTCTTTTTTCAAAAAAATTAATCAAATCAATAGCCCTCTCAAAATTTGATTTCGATTTGAAAATTTTAAAATTTTAAATCGAACAAATTTAATCTTGAAATTAAAGGGAGTGAATCAGAACTGAGATTTCGCAGAGATATGTTTCGAAAAAAGGGAGGGGAGACCGCAGAAATAGAAAAAAGAGCGAAGAGCGTCTTTGATTCAAGCCGTTTCTACGTTAGTTCCAATATCGGCCGTCTAAGCAAGAGCTCGCCACTGTCCAGCGACCCTTTCACCAGCACAAGCAGCCTTCAACCCCTTAGCGCACACGGATACGTCTCCACAGACGGGGGTGATTTTTCTTTGGAACACCAACACTGCCCCGCGGCAGTCTCACCATCACGAACACAGACTCGATACGAGCATGCATCAGTGGGGTTGCGCGTATCCTCGTTTCGCCCCGTAAGGGATAGCTACCCCTCTCTTTTCTCGAGAATCGCGCATGACCGAAATCATTCGCGCTCTTCCTCGCGCTACCTTCGTCCGCAACCAACATCAAATGAACCGCTCTTTCCACCGAACATGAAACTACTCGATTGTTATTATCAACGTCGTTGACTATAAAAAAAAGACTGTAAAAAGAAAAGCGTACGATATTATTTTCGATCGATTGGTAAATACAATATATTACGTATCATCCCATCCTATTTGGATATATATATATATATATATCCAAAAACCAATGACTTTTATAACATCTCGTAATCAATCCATTTTTTTTTCATTTTTATTCCTTTCTTTTTTTCTCCCCCTCCCCGTGAAAAAAAAAATAATTTACGTCCCTATAAATCATCTTAGTCTGCCTAATTTCCGCTGCATTCGTTTCGAAGCTTGCACGCGTCCAGCCTATCCGATATCAACGTACACCATCGCCTCGAACTCCCCCTCCTCCCCCCGTTACACCTCGGCGTAGTCGCGCACACGTACACGTACGGGGCCAGCGTGATAAAGTAGAAACTCTCTCCGTTTCTGTTCGCAACGCGTGCAACGCGTTCGTCTATCCTTTTCCGCCGGTTCACCGTCGCGAGGCGTACGAGCGCGTGGTCAGCTTGCGAGAAAGCTCTCCCTCGTTCCAACGGTGTCTATTCTATCATCCTCTTCGTCTTCATCCACACCGACCGCGCGGCGAGCGTCCTCTCTCTTTCCCTCCCGTTGCCGCTCCACGAGCCCCATCTCCGTCCCTCGCACGCCGGCCAGTCGAGTACGTCTCGGACGAGTTCGGGGATGTTCGTGTCGTTTGCAGTCGTCCTCGTTGCGCCCTCGTGGACATCACGGCGCGTCATCTTCCTCTCGCAATTTATCCCCTTCCACCGGCGTAACCTGTTCACCCACCACCAACGATTCCGTCGCAAGCTTCCACGATCGAGATCCTCCTCGTCGCACAAACGACTCCCTCGTTGATATCGTCTTCCTCTGAATTCATTCAGGGCCGGCTTCTGGCCTCTAGTTGCCCCATGCAACTTACACCCTTCTTCTAATCCACCAATCCTGAATCGATCCGATAAAATATCCCCTTCGTCGCTCTCCTCTCGTTTCCTTGAATGCAATCCACCCGCGTGCAAGAAAAATCCTTGGACGATATACCTGAACACCCCCATCGAATAATCAATTCCCCCTCCCCGTTGAGATCGTATCGATCTCGGATGATAGAAAGTTCTCGGAAGGAGGAAGGGAAAAAGAGTTGCGCGACAACAACAAGTTGAACGCGAAACGTCTCGTATAAATCTTGAATTTTGCCGGGGCAGTGAGAGCGGGCAGTCTGTGCCAAGGGGCGGTCATGTCCTCTCGCTCGTCCCCCTTCTTTCTCGCGTCGCCGTGCATAAGTCGGTCCTTGTCGGCCGTCCGGCCTGCTCGCCTCTCTCCGTCCCACGAATAGGTCGGCGCCGTGCTCGCCCACGCGGCACTCTCGTAGCCCGCTAGGAGAAGCAGGCGGCGAGCTTTCGAGTCCGGACGCTAGAGGAGCCACCGTCCGGGGCAGCGGCCAAGAGGGGCCACCGGCTTTCCTCCGCTTGCTGGCCGGCGCGCGTGTTTCTCTCCCTTCGGCTTACAGCATCCGCCGGAGCTTCTCCTCTCTCCGCCTACGCGGTGCGAGTGTGCCGTGTGCGCCAGTGCGCCCGCAAGCCCGCAAGTTCGCGCTCCGCCACGCAGCCCAAGCTCTCTCTAGCCGCGCGCTGATCGGCCACGTTCGTCAGCCGGGCCCCACGCAAAAAGGCAGCGGGGCCGCGCGCGAGCCGACTGGACACACACGACGGACGATTTCTTACTTGGTAAAGATTCGAACACGTAACACTTAAACGATTGGACACAACGGGCCGGCTTGGCGAGCAAACGCGTTCCGGAAAGAACAGTTTATACGTGTATATATATATATGTATACACATGTGTATAGATATATATATATATATATATATATATACATATATATATATATGTATCCAAGGAAACCGATTCATTCTTATATTATTGTAATTATTAATACGTATTAATAACGCTCGCCGCTCGAGGAAACAGTTCGACGACGTGGTGTGACACGTAACACGAGTGGAAAACACACTCGAAACACGCGCGCTCCTATCGATAAACCTGACAACACGAGAGAAGAAAACCACGGGCAGTGACTGTGAGGAAACGAACAGGATATCACGGACCGCTATCCAGTGCGCTGTTTTCGTTTGTGAACACCGTTTACGCACGTCCTCGAACACGTCTTCTTGGGATCGCCGCGATCGCACAGGTGAGTCCATCGATGATCGGGACTTTTTCCCTTTTCTTTTCTTTTCTTTCCTCTTCTCTCTTCCCCCTTTTGATGCCCGATTTCCTCTCCTTCGTTCTTCTTCCATTCTCACGATAGTGGAACGATTCTTTCACGAGGTGTATCTCCAAGATTTTTCGAATGTACGTTGTTCAAACGTAATTACGAAGTATCGTCAGATAAGTGATAAGATTCGAGCAATGTTTTGTATTTTCGTTCCTTCTCCTTTCTTTCTTTATTTATTTATCTGTTCTCACGATATTTCGCAGCGAGATTGGAAGGAAACTAGTTTACACTTGAATCATTATTGAAAGTGTTTCTACCTTTTGCAAAAGATACGAGATAATTTTAATTTTAATTATTACTTTTACTTTTATGTGTTCTTCTTCCAGCGAGAAGGATTTCTATCCCGTTTAGAACGATTAATTATTAGTTCTGGTTGCTCGATCGAATTATTTTCGCGATATCCAACAGGAAATAGTGTTGTTTCGAAGGTGAAGGATACGTTTTTTCATTCACGATTAGACGATTTCTCCCCTCGGTCTGAGTGGCTTGTCTGTCATCCACGGATACACTCCCCTTGTTGTAGCCGTTTCTCGAGCAAAGATGCGTGTCCGATTGTGCGGTGACACTCGTGGTGATAGTGTACAGTGGTGGTGGTGATAATTGTGGGCCTAAACAGCACGATTAAACGGCATGATCGCGATACGAGGCGGGATACAAATTTCGGGATCTAATTGACGAACGGGACACGAATCGCTTGAATTGAAACAGAGTGAAAAGAGAGTGACTTACTTCGTTTCTAAGAATTTGTTTAAAACACGTGTCGAGTGTCGGATACGGACGATAATTTCGTGTAAAAAAAAAAAAAAAAAAAAGAAAAGAAAAAGAAAGAAAGAAAGAAAGAAATAAATAAATAAAATAAATAAAGATACATCGATAAAGTGACAATTACGTAACGTTAATATCGCGATTATTAAATCGCGAAAGGCAATCGTGGAGGTGCGAGTATAATGAAAATCAAAGTCACGTGTGCGCTTAATTAAAATATTGCGAATATGAATGTTTCATTACCGAGCATATTAATATTTCAACACGGTGTAATGCCAATAAACATACGTCGTTGAAAAATTGTGCAATTGTTGTGCAAAACGAAATAAATAGAAGAATTTTTCAACACCAAATACGAATTCCCCGTCTAATTTGAGAAATCGATAGTCAGTGAAAATCGGAATATGGATCGAAACGTACGTGTTTCGATTTGAAGAGAAACGGGATTAAAATCGACGTCGTTCAAACTGTTATAAAATTTCTCAGAACGATCCATTTCTCTTTTTATTTCTAAATTTCACGTGAAAAAGTATAAACCAGTTGAATTTTAAATAATAAAGAATAATATGGAATATCATAAATTGTGAAACGTGCGTGCGTGTGTAATAAGAAGTAGATACTGTCGATTCTCGTCAGACTCGTAAGACTATACGCCTGAACAACTCTTCCGTCGGAAGTCGATCGTGTTTAGAAAGCAAATGATCAACACTGAAAATCACGGAAATAAAGTAAAAGAACACCAATCCCCTAAAACAAATTTCTAAGAATATTAAATTAAAATATTCGAATACTATTAACGTAAATAAAATTGATCGATCGGGACAAAAACCTTTTCAATTCGTCGTCGAATTAAAAAAGCCGAAAATAAACTATCGTAAAAATCTTTATCTGAAACGTTCATACATTCGTTTCTAATAATAATAACAACAATAACATTTCGTGCTGCACTTATTAAAATTCGCTTAAATTTCGAAGGAACGATCGAACTCGTCGAGAGATAATTCTGAAGGAAAATTCTCCATTTAAAACGCACAATCACCACCCGAAATAATCTGCCGGCAAATTCCCGAATTGGCTGCGTTGGAGGAGGCAGAGAATGGTCTTCGGCGTAATCACGAGAACTCCATTGAGTACGAAAAATTAGACACTTCCACGATACTACAAAGGCCCCCCGATCGTGGCGGCGTCCCCGTGGAACTGAGGGTCCGAAAATGAGTATCCAGTATTCGATCGCGAATCCGGTGGAACCGGTTTCGCCGGTCCGAGCGAAGGGGTTGGTAAAAAGAAAGGAAGAGAGAGGAAAAAAAGAAAAGAAGGGAGAAGAAAGGAAGGAAAGAAGGGAGGAAGAAGGAGAAAAAGGAAAAAGGACGCGCGAGGAGGAAGGAAGGAAGGGTCGTGCAGGAAGGGTTACTGGCGGAACGCGACCTCGGAAGCGTTTTGTTGTTGAAATACCGCGTGGCAGTTGGCAACTCGATCGATGACCGCGTATAAACAGCTAATAATCAAACGAATCGTGTCATAAACAATCCCCACGATGGGGAGGGGGGCGGTAGAGTGGTGGTAAAAGTATAAATGAGTTTCGATCGCGGAGTGGGGTGGACCGGGCAGCGGGGGTGGGAGGTGATCAGTTTGAAAAGCAGAGGAAAACTCGACCCGCTGAAAAATTTCGTTTCGATGTCCAGCTTCCATTTGGATGTTTCCAATTTTCGGGTTACACCGACGTGTTGTCCCCTGATTTTTCCATCATTTCTGGATTTTTCCATGTTTTTCGAGGCCTTCGTCTAATCTCGTTCAATCCACCGCTATTATACGGATAACCGATAGAACAACCGCGAACAATTTGCAAAGTAATTACTATTAATTTTCTATTTCGTACTTTTATATTATTTTTTCCTTTTTTTTTTTTTTACGCTGATCTAATTGAACGCGTGGAAAGTAACTGTCATCTCACACGACTCGACGATGATAATACCGGTTATATACAACGATATTTCTGAACGTCTTTTCGAAGATTCTGGGAAGAATAACACGGAAAGGAAAACACTTGATAAGCTCGATCGATCTTGAATCGGATCTTGTTCAATCGATGCCCAACTTCTGAATCATTGGATGCGTTCAGATTTTGCGTAGGTCGCATTGAATACGTCGTGCACAGCGCGCATTTGATCAAGTCCAAGCGCTGCTACTTTGAAAAGCTGAACGGTACTTTTGCGTTGAAAGGTTTCATTGACGTTTGTTCTTGTTTCTATTAAATCGTAGAGGCGATTGCACACACGCTGCGGGGAAAGAAACGAGCCCGTTCCACTGCGAGAAGTCAGACAGTCGGGGTATGCTCGGTTTTATTCATCTTACTCTGCACACGACGTGTCACTAGATCAAAACGTATCTCAGACTCGTCCTGCTTAAACCTTGTTGTTCCCGTTGTTAAATTTACATTTCCATTTCCATATTGAAACCCGTATTCCCGTAAGATCTTCTCGTAAGAAAATTCCTCTCAAAAAATTTGGACGTATCCATCCATCCGTCGAAAAGGTGAAAAGGGTCGCGTAAACGAGGGAGCATTTTTCCATACACTGACGATACCAAAGGTCTAGTAAAAGATCTAGTAAAATTTTTCTAAATCTCGAAATCAGAGTTGATAACGTGTATCACACTCGTGTATAAATCTCGTAGAAACGGATCACAGGCTGTATTTCATTCTTCTCTCTGTCAACCATCGCCAGTTTAATCTTTCGCATCCCTTTACGCTTCGTGTCAACGCTTCCGTTAAAACCAGTCAGACCCTGTCCCTTCGCTAACTCGCAAAACCGGATTCAAACGGGGCTCGGAATCTTTCGTTCCGTGTTCGAAACCCCTTAGTCGAAATAAATCCGCGCCTAACCCCTTATTCCCCACGATCTTTAATCGGGGGATGGGGATGGGGAATAAAAAATCCCAAAATTCTGACCTCTTTCCCTTCGCGTCTATCTCGCGAGAAAGGAAAAAAGGGAGGGGAAAAAAAAAAATCCAGACCCGAAGAGAATCTGGGCGAAAAACCCCCGGAGGTAGCTGGAGCCCGATCAGAAAGAAACGGGGGCGAAAGTGATCTTGCCGGCCACGTCACAGCGACACCACGCTGGAACTGAATACATACATACGTCGAAGATCGATGTGCCTAAAAAAGCTTCGAAAAAAAAAGAAAGAAGAGGGAGAAAGAAAGGAAAAAAAACAACAACACACTGACAACAATATATATATATATACATATACATATACATATACATATATATACATATATATATACATATATATATACCGACTCTGTGAAAAAGCACGAGGTCGTTCCCGTTGTTGTCATCTCCCGCTGGTGGGAGACCGAGGGTGGTCAAGGTGGGGGGTATGTATGTTCCGAGGGTGAACGGTATGATAACGTCGAACAGGTCGACACGCGATGTATCGGTCGGAGAAGAGAGGAAAAAAAGGGGTGCAGGGGGAGGGGGAAGAGGGTAGAGGATTGAAGGTTGCCCCCGAAAGAATCGAAAGTCCTGTCGAGTCGAAGAGAGGGAGAGAAACAGAGATAGACAGAGAGGGCGCGATCGAGCGAAGAGAAGAAAGGAGTAGGAGAGGGTTGAAATGGGGTTGGAAGGGGGGAGGGGGTGAGTGGTGGTTGCTTGCAAGGGCTAGTATACGTAGAAAAGAGAGAGAGAGAGAGAGGAGGGATCGGGAAGAAGGGGTAGCCCGGTGTCGAAGCGAGAAGGGGATATATATATATATATATATATATATAGATAGGGTAGAGAAGGTATGGTAAGGTGGGGTTGAAGGAAAAGTCTGTAGGTTTGGTAGGGGTATATAGGAGGCGAGGGTGAGTGGGTTAACTGCAAAACCCGATCGTCCGTGTTTTTATCTTAAGACGACTCTCCGAGTAGAGGCCGCGAGAGGAGACGGAGAGAAGAAGGGGATCGGTGGCGGTGGGAAGGGTTCTGGAAGGGGTTCTTCTCAAATCTCGAGCAGGTCCAGCTCGAGGAGGGGTAGAAACGACAGCGGCGGCGGTGGCGGCGGCGGCGGCGGCGTGGACGTCGGCGGCGGTGGCGGCGTGCGTCGCGGGGTATAGAGGTTTCTGGTGGTGGCAGTGCTGGACCGTCTGGGGGTGGGTGGGGGGTGGCAGTCTC